TCCCTGCCCCAACCCATCAGATTATCACTTACTCTCCTCTCCTTAGGCGCACCCTGAAAACCCATCTCTTCAGGGAAGCCTACCCCACCCCCTGCTAATCTGCCGACCTCCTCCACTCTTCCTACCACTCCATCCCCCACAGCTATCTCCTCTTGTGCCACCATCCCCCCTCCTAGATTGTAAGCTCGAAAGAGCAGGACCCTCGATCCCCTCATGTTTTGCATTGTATTGGTATTGTTCTGTCACATGTTCTGTCCCCCTTTGTATTATACAGCGCTGAGCGAACCATTGGTGCTTTATAAATACTGTATAATAATAATAATAAATATGAAACCAAAGGTTTTTTATGGTAACAAACGCAAGATAAAAAAATAAACTGGCTCCAAGCAGACAATATTTAAAGTCTTCTTGCGCTTAGGTGAACCCGTGACTACAGCTGCTAACACCTAACCATATACCAAAAAAATGGTCAACCCAAATTGTAAAATGTGGTGCTGCGCTAATAAACTATATGTGAACCCCAATACTTAATATTCAATAAATAGGTGAACAATATCCCCTTAAAATCAATAATAGATAACTAAGTCAAATAAGACATAAACCCCACAACCTCTCCACCCCTCTCCTAAGTAAGATAATCCACAAATATACACAATATTAATACACATATATTAAATGCTGTGAAAACTTCTGATTATTTTTGGGGTTTGAGTTTTTTGTTTATGTTAGTGGGTGGATTATCCACTGTCGTTATATATATGTTTGTGGATATATGGAAAGTGTGAAGAAGGGGCGGACTGACAACTCATGAGGCCCCCGAGCAATAGGGGATCATGGGGCCCCTGTGTCCTTGCCCAAACTCAAAAAAGCCTATGAATAAGGTGCCAGGGACATCTCATGCTGCACTGACGGACACAGATTGCCACTGATATGCTGCACTGATGGGCACTAATGGGGCTGGGGAATAAATTACAGTAGATTAGCCACCAAGAGGAGTAAAAGAAAAAAGGGACACATCATCTAAGTGTAGTAATATAGGTAACATGTATTTTATAATGTTGAACAACTCACATCATATTCGCTTGTCATAGTGAATGCCACCAGGTACCCCATCCTGCAGGAGCCCCCGAGCAATAGCGGATCATGGGGCCCCTGTGTCCTTGCCCAAACTCAAAAAAGCCCATGAAAAAGGTACCAGGGGCATCTCATGGGGCCCCCTACTGATCCCGGGCCCTCAGGCAGTGCCTGAATTTCCAAATGGTCAGTCCGCCTCAGCTTCTGATGCTCTGTGTGCACTGCAAGCTGGTCACCAGTGGTTCTGGGATCTCCTGCAGCCTCTCTACCTCTGTAGACACAGCAGACAGCTGCAGCTCTTTTCCACCCACTAGGTCCTGCAGGACGGGGTACCTGGCGGCGTTCACTATGACAAGTGAATATGATGTTTTTGCATGTGAGTTGTTTAACATTTTAAAATACATGTTACCTATATTACTACACTTAGATGATGTGTCCCTTTTTTTCTTTTACCCCTCTGGGTGGCTAATCTACTGTAATTCATTCCCCAGTTTCAGCATAGAGCTAGTTTATTTAATTTATGTTTTATTACAGGTACTTATATAGCGCCATCAATTTATACAGCACTGAATTTTATATTGTATCTTCACATCAGTCCCTAACCCTCAAGGGGCATACAATCTAATGTCCCTAACTTACATTCATACATACATATACTAGGGACAATTTAGACAGGAGACAATTAACCTACCAGCATGTCTTTGGAATGTGAGAGGAAACTGGAGTACCCGGAGGAAATCAATGCAGGCACAGGGAGAACATGCAAACTCCAGGCAGGTAGTGCCATGGTTGGGATTTTAACCAATGACCCTAGTGCTGCCTGGCAGAAGTGCTAACCACTTAGCCACTGTGCTGCCTATGAATCCAAGATATCACGATGGAGTAACAAGGTCTTGTCACTTTAGTTGTTTGGGCTCCTGTCCTTGCCATAGGGTGAAGTGTGTGGGACCCTGTTTGTGTCAAAAGAGCTGGTGTAAGGTACATGTGTTCTGCGCATTCCCTCCTGAAATGTCATATTATTGGAGCCAGATCACTACTCTGCAGCCTGGCTTTAAATCCACATTAATGGCTTGTTCACACTAGCAGATGAGGTGGCTGTAAAATCCCACAGTTGAGCCACGCTTTTGCCGGTCCACAACCGCTCCCCCTTTAGTTACAGAGGCAGTGGCCAGGAGTGAGCAAATGCCACGGCCCGTTGCTTTGCTTTGGGGCAGGAGCTATACCCCTTGTCACTTTTGATAGCGCCAATGAACAGTGAACCATTTAAATGATGGGTTCAAGATCACTTGTGGAATGCACGTAGTTATGGAACGGTAGTGTGGGCTTCACACTAGTAGATGTGGGTCTGTAAAATCACACAGTTGAGCCATGGTTCTGCCGGTCCCCAACCACTCCCCCTTTAGTTACAGTGGCAGTGGCCAGGGGTGAACAAATGGCAATGCGCAATGCTTTGCTTTGAGGCAGGAGTTATAGTTCTTGTCTCTTTTGCCGGGCGTGGCACCGATGAAACGTGACCCGTTCAGATCATGGGTTCTAGATCACTTGTGGAATGCACGCAGTTATGGTATGCTAGTCCAGGGTTCAAGAGGTCAAAGCAGGTGATTATAGACCCCCAACCACATTCAGCAGGTCTAGTGCTCATGAAATGCAACCCGTTCAAATAACGGGTTCTAGATCACTTGTGGAATGCACACAGTCATGGTATGCTAGTCCAGGGGTCAAGAGGTCAAAGCAGGTGATTATATATCCCCAACCACATTCATCAGGTGTAGTGCCCATGAAATGTGACCTGTTCAAATCTTGGGTTCCAGATCACTTGTGGAATGCACACAGTCATGATATGCTAGTCCGGGGTTCAAGAGGTCAAAGCAGGTGGTTATATACATCAACCACATTCATCAGGTGTAGTGCCCATGAAACATGACCTGTTCAAATCAGGGTTCTAGATCACTTGTGGAATGCACACAGTCATGATATGCTAGTCCGGGGTTCAAGAGGTTAAAGCAGGTGGTCATATACCCCTAACCACATTCATCAGGTGTAGTGCCCATGAAACACAACCTGTTCAAATCAGGGGTTCTAGATCACTTGTGGAATGCACACAGTCATGATATGCTAGTCCGGGGTTCAAGAGGTCAAAGCAGATGGTTATATACCCCCAATCACATTCAGCAGGTGTAGTGCCCATGAAATGTGACCTGTTCAAATCATGGGTTCCAGATCACTTGTGGAATGCACACAGTCAAAAACACTTTTGTTCAAAATTTTTGGACTTTTTCATTTACATAGCAAAAAAAATAAAAATCCCAGCGGTGAATAAATACCACCAAAATAAAGCTTTATCTGTCTCAAAAAAATGGTAAAAAATTAATTTGGGTACAGTGTTGCATGACTGCGCAATTGTCATTCAAAGTGTGATAGCGCTGAAAGCTGAAAATTGGCCTTTACAGAAAGGGGGTAAAAGTGTCCGGTCTGGAAGTGGTTAAAAAAACAAAAAAATAGGTATCATACTCACAATGGACATAATAACACAGGCATGTCAAACTGAACAAGACGTATGATCCAAACAACATCCATACGATGGAACCCTGGATGACCAACTGGCTAACGCGTTTCGAGGACATAACCTCCTCCCCCAAGAAGAGAGCCTGACATTTACCAATAACACTCCAGTCCCCCCCCCCCCCCTCACCTGAGAGAGCCTTCCACTACCACTGCCCCCCATACACAGGCAACCAACCCCCCCCCCCCCCCCGGCAAGAAATAAGACACTCACCTTCACAGCTCCGGACATCCCCAGGAACAAGAGTCAGGATCTGCCTACACCATCAAACAGCCCGCAGCCTCTCAGATCCCACCTGGTCCCGGTGCTGCGTGTGTGTCCCTTCTCCCTTTCCTTCTTTCGGGGGGACGGCGCTGTCCCTCTGAAAAATGCTGCTGCCCCCCTGAAAAATGGCACCCTAGGCAAATGCCTTGTTTGCCTTGTGGTAAATACACCCCTGGATACAGCTAGATCTAGAATTAATAAAACATTTTCAACAATTTACACAATCCACATAGATAGGTTATTTTCCATTTTTTCTTTCTGTAAAATTTCCTACTTCCTACAAAAGGCTTTTTGTTCTATGAACCAATAAATACGAACGATGAAACTCTAATTTTTGAAAACGCTGCGGGTCAATTACACTTGCGGCAAATTCATTAAAACAAGTGGCTTCTTCATCTATAGTATTTTCCAAACTACGCACAATCTTTGTTCCCGGTTCACAGGAGCTGTTTATGGAGTCTAAACATGGTACCATCTTTGTAGTTTTTTTTTTATTCCTAAATTAATCAGATACAGAAACATACATACATTCTTTATTGTTACTTCCACATTATTTATGACAGATGAAAAAAATAAAAAAAATAAAAAATCTGGAGTGCCACCGATACACTGCTCATTGTCTTTAATATCGGGTTGCTATAGCTACCATCTGGGAGACTTGTTTTTCTATTTAAACTATATAAAGAGTGCAACAACTTCTATAGCAAGCCGCAAATGAAAAGTCTTCAATATACACAGAATGCATATTTTAATGGATGGATTTGTTAAAAAAAAAAAAAAAAGGCATAACCCTGACAGTATGGGGTCCACAATAAATCTTCCAAGGGACAAGGAAATGCTGTTTGAGGCTGTGTCACTAAAGAGAAAATTGTATTTAATCTTGGCGGGTGGGAGAACGCTCATAAACTGGACACCATGGAATCAATTTGTAAAAGTTTAAATTGGTAAAAAGTGTGTTTAATTCAGATACCAGTAAATTGGTAAAAAATGTAACTAATTGGTTTACGGTTTACATGATGAAGGGATCTGGGTCATCGCGTGTGCTTGCATCTTTAATAACTCAAGGGTATCACTTAAACTCCAAACTTTTCATATTAACCACTTCCAGTCCGGACACTTTCACCTCCTTCCAGTCCAGGCACTTTCACCTCCTTCGAGTCCGGACACTTTCACCCCCTTCCAGTCCGGACACTTTCCCCCCCTCCAGTCTGGACACTTTCCCCCCTTCCAGTCCGGACACTTTCACCCCCTTCCAGTCCAGGCACTTTCACCTCCTTCCAGTCCGGACACTTTCACCCCCTTCCAGTCTGGACACTTTCACCCCTTCGAGTCCGGACACTTTCCCCCCTTCCAGTCCGGACACTTTCACCCCCTTCCAGTCCGGACACTTTCCCCCCCTTCCAGTCTGGACACTTTCCCCTCCTTCCAGTCCAGACACTTTCCCCCCCTTCCAGTCCGGACACTTTCACCCCCTTCTTGTCTGGACACTTTCCCCCTGTTCCAGTCTGGACACTTTCACCCCTTCCAGTCCGGACACTTTCCCCCCCTTCCAGTCCGGACACTTTCACCCCCTTCCAGTCCGGACACTTTCCCCTCCTTCCTGTCCAGGACACTTTCCCCCCTTCCAGTCCGAACACTTTCCCCCTTCCAGTACGGACACTTTCACCACCTTCCAGTCCGGACACTTTCACCTCCTTCCAGTCCGGACACTTTCCCCCCTTCCTGTCTGGACACTTTCCCCCCCTTCCAGTCCGGACACTTTCCCCCCTTCCAGTCCGGACACTTTCCCCCCTTCCAGTCCGGACACTTTCCCCCCTTCCAGTCCGGACACTTTCCCCCCCCTTCCTGTCTGGACACTTTCCCCCCTTCCAGTCCAAACACTTTCCCCCTTTCCAGTTCGGACACTTTCCCCCCTTCCAGTCCGGACACTTTCCCCCCTTCCAGTCCGGACACTTTCCCCCCCTTCCAGTCCGGACACTTTCCCCCCCTTCCAGTCCGGACACTTTCCCCCCCTTCCAGTCCGGACACTTTCCCCCCCTTCCAGTCTGGACACTTTCCCCTCCTTCCAGTCCGGTCACTTTCCCCCCCTTCCAGTCCGGACACTTTCCCCCCCTTCCAGTCCGGACACTTTCCCCCCTTCCAGTCCGGACACATTCCCCCCTTCCAGTCCGGACACTTTCCCCCTTCCAGTCCGGACACTTTCACCCCCTTCCAGTCCGGACACTTTCCCCCCCTTCCAGTCCGGACACTTTCCCCCCCTTCCAGTCCGGACACTTTCACCCCCTTCCAGTCCGGATCCCCCCCCCTCTTCCAGTCCGGACCCTTTCCCCCGTTCCAGTCGGACACTTTCACCCCCTTCCAGTCCGGACACTTTCACCCCTTCCAGTCCAGACACTTTCCCCTCCTTCCAGTCCGGACACTTTCACCCCCCCCTTCCAGTCCGACACTTTTCCCCCTTCCAGTCCCGGACACTTTCACCCCCTTCCAGTCCGGACACCTTCACCCCTTCCAGTCCGGACACTTTCACCCCCTTCCTCTCCAGGCCAATTTTCAGCTTTCAGCGCTATCACACTTTGAATGACAATTGCGGGTCATGCAACACTGTACCCATATGAATTTTTTTAGCATTTTTTTGAGACAGATAAAGCTTTATTTTGGTGGTATTTATTCACCGCAGGGATTTTAATTTTTTGTTGCTATATAAATGAAAAAGTCCAAAAATTTGAAAATAAGTGTTTTTTTTCTTATAAAATTTTGCAAATAAATAATCATAAATCTTGGCAAAAATGTATTCCGTTATCTTTTTAGAAAAAAAAAAACCCAAATTAGTTTATAACCAAAATTATATTTTTTAAACATTCTTTTTCCATTTTTTAAATTTTTTTTATATTATTATTATTTTGTTTTTTTTTTTACATACTGTCACCCTAGCAGTACAGTATCACCATGGTGACACTGTACTACTTGTGGGGGTGATGAAGATTTTTTTTTTTTTTTTTTTTACACTGATTGCTTTTACACCCATAAAGGCTGTAAAAGCATTCATTTCTCCTTCTCTCTGGCTGCATTCTTGCAGCCATTGTGAACTACTGAGTGAGCTGTGATTGGTCACAGCTTGTCACATGGTACAAGCTGTTGTGAATAGCCCTGTACCAGGTGACCTCTGTGATCATTCACAGATTTCACATGTAGTAAGCAATGATGTCAGAAGCAGGGGCGGACTGACAACTCATGGGGCCCCCGGGCAATAGGGGATTATGGGGTCCCTGTGTATTCGCCGACACCCAAAAAAGCCTATGAAAAAGCCAATGAAACGTAACAGGGGCATCTCATGGGGCCCCCTACTGACTCCGGGCCCTTGGGCAGTGCCCAAGTGTTCGAATGGTCAGTCCGCCCCTGGTCAGAAGTGACATCTTGCTTACTACTCTGCATGTGATCGCTGATTGGCCAATCAGTGATCACATGATTGGGACCTCGCACAGAGGTCCTGTCCGATGATCGGTGTTCCACTGCTGTGTCCGGAGGAGCACACTGTGTCCAGGGAGCGCGCACAAGGGTGCGGGGAGGCTGTTTATAAATGGCAACCCGCCCCTGAAGTGCCACCGTGTCCAGGGAGTGCGCACAAGCAGGGTGCGGGGAGGACGTTTTTAAATGGCCACCCGACCCTGCACTGCCACCGTGTCCAGGGGGTGCGCACAAGCAGGGTGCGGGGAGGACGTTTATAAACGGCCACCCGACCCTGCACTGCCACCGTCCGGCCGTTTATATACAATGACCGGACAGGAGGTGGTTAAGGGCAGGAACCGATGCGACCAGGGGCGGACTGACCATTTGGAAAATTGGGCACTGCCCGAGGGCCCGGGGTTAGTAGGGGGCCCCATGAGATGCCCCTGGTACCTTTTTCATAGGCTTTTTTGAGTTTGGGCAAGGATACAGGGGCCCATGATCCCCTATTGCCCAGGGGGACCCCATGAGCTGTCAGTCCGCCCCTGGATGTGACTGTACAATATATATGTAAAAAGCTGCATAAATTGGCGCTATATAAATACCTGTAATAAATAAATATTTTTTGGATACAATTACAGTCCAAAAAAAAAAAAAATCAGCTCAAATCTACAAAAGATAATTTACATCCGTTTATGTCCCTTGGAGCAAAAAAGTGGAAGTTTTTGATGCTTGGAACTCCTAGAAGGCCAGATTTATCATTTTCTTACTAATTGACACCCACAAAGAGCCAAAAGTTCTCTGATGCATCGATGATTGTGAGTCTTGGATGTCTTTACTGGCAGCGGGACCCACAAACACCAGCCGCTCATAATTAGAAGCCTGTGAACTGGAGAGAGCTCTGTTTGTCATTAAGTTTTCTGCGTCTTCGTCCAAGATGCTGAATCGGAGCTCAATAATGGTCTACTAAGCATGACATTTATTTCACAGTTCAGAGTGTGCGGCACAAAGTCTTTCCAGAGATAGTTTAGCAAGTAAAAAATGCAGAGGAAGCTTAAAGGGAAACTGTTTGCGGGGCATGCACATAATCCCATTTATTGCTGCAACATTGACTTAGGTTGAAATCATTTTTTTTTTTGTGGTGCGACTTTCACGTGCTTGTGGTTCCTTATTTTGATTATTGGATTTTCATATACAGACTTGTAAATGACCCCTCTAGTGATCACCTGTATTTCAAAGAATGGGATTAGCATCCTTGCTCCATGACTGATAAGATAAATTTAAATGAAGATTATGATTAACCCCCCTGGCGGTATGATTATTTCCGATTTTTGGTGCTCAAAGCGGTACATTTTTTTTGCATGGAAATATGTTGTTTTTTTTATTGTAGGCTGTAATTTTTAGGAATAACTCACTGAAATCTGTCCGAACAAGAGTCTAGTAAACATCCCGGGGAGGATAAAACTTAAAACACAAAATCATAAATTATAATTTAATTAATAATCATAAAAAATAATAATATAATAATAATAAATTTAATTCAATAATATAATCAAACACTGAAATTTGAAATACAGAGGCAAGTTCGCACATCGCTGAGCAAAGTCGCAAAATTGTTTTCAGTGTCTGATGAGGAATTTCCCCCACGAATCATTATCACTCAATTCTGCAAGTGGTTCTGATTTACTATCGCTGTTCTCTAGCCGGTCTAAAACCGCTTTTGTTGTAAAGGGACGCTTTTTGGACCCATGGACTTTTCTCAGTTTCCAGGCAGAAAGAACAGTCAAAAATGTAGGCAGGGCGCGCCGGACAAAGCACTCGGGACAAAATGTATGTGAAATGCATTGAAACAGCAATGTTTTACTATGTAATAATCATTTTTTAAAAAATTAAATTTTTTAAAAATTTCAAATTTCCCGCCCGTACGTCCTGCGCCCATACGTCCTGACATCACAGGGACCGGAACACGGAAGCCGGATGCCGGCATCGGCCGGAGGAGATGGCCGGAGAAGCTGCAGGGGACACATCGCGGGAGTGAAGGACAAGGTAAGTGCTGCAGGGACCCCCTGAGCAACGCCGCATGGTAAGCCCGAGTGTAGCTCGGGGGGGTTACCGCTCTTGGTACAGAAACTTTACCCCGAGCTACACTCGGGAATACCGCCAGGGAGGTTAACTTCCCTGGCGGTCTGATTATGTCAAAAATTTTTGAATGTCAAAGCGGTACATTGTTTCGCATGGCAATTTGTTGTTTTGTATTGTAGGCCTGTAATTCCTAGGGCTCCTGTACACGGCAGCTGCTAAACTCACGTTTAGGAGCTGTTTAGCGTTTTTTTTTTTCAGCAGCCCCTGAACTCTCCCTAATGTTTTCCTGGGGGGGGGGGGGGGAGTCCTCTTTTTTGGTGGAACTTTAACGGCGCAATTTACTTATATGATAAACTTCAACAATTCAAAAGTGATTTTTTATAAAAACAGTATGACATTTTATTTTTACGATCTTCAAAAATAAGTAAATATAAAAAAAGAACTATAATACATATTAATAGGGACGTCGGTTTGAATCCCAGCCACAGCACCACCTGCCTGGAGTTTGCATGTTCTCCCTGTGCCTGCGTGGGTTTCCTCCGAATACTCCGGTTTCCTCCCACACTCCAAAGACATGCTGGTAGGTGAAATGGCTCCTGTCTAAATTGTCCCTAGTATGTGTATGTATGAATGTGAGTTAGGGACCTTAGATTGTACACCCCTTGAGGGTTTGGGGCCTTAGATTGTACGCCCCTTGAGGGTTAGGGGGTTACTGATGTGAATGTACAATATATATGTAAAGCGCTGCGTAAATGGACGGCGCTATACAAGTACCTGAAATAAATGAATAAATATTACGGCAGGTGTCATCAGAGATAGTCATGATGGATCATGCATGGTTCACACTTGACACGTTTCGAGGTCAGCAAAATTCTCTTCTTCAGAAGTGCTCAAGAAGGCATGACGTCTATAACAAAACATATATATATCAATATACATGACACAATCTAATTATTGTAAACAATTTGATACTTTACAATATGGTTATACACTTACATGATTCCAAGTGAGG